CAACAATTCGTGATTGCATCAATGGTTTTAATATATTAGGGTTTCCACAATGCATGCGTGCTATAGGTAACTCAATATCCAATGTGGAAATAAGTGTGTAAATTTTTTGTTTCAGACGGTTGTCACATTGAAGTGCATCCTCGAAAGAATGGACCGCTTTGTTAACTGACAACGATCCAACATCTGAAAATATAAGATCAGCCATTGCTACATTTTTAGGTAATCTTTTTTTTATTAATATTACTAATTACTGTTTATCCTTAATATTACTAAATTAATATTAATGTAATGTAATGTTTACGATTAGGTTTCGATCAAGACTGATTTTTATTTATTTTATTTTAACTTACAAGCTTACTCTTATACAAAGCTTATTCTATCTACATAAAAGCTTAAACTCTACAGCCCTCCTCCTAAGATTATAACTATAATAATTAAACACGATATACATAAATAAAAAAAATATAAAATATAAATGTAAAGCATAATTGAAATTCATTTTAATTCACTTTAAAATTATATAATTATAATTATGAAATATTCAACAACAAATTATTACTCCGTATAAATTAAATTATATTCATGAATTATTCCTTATAATTAATCTTAGTTTTACGTTCTCGCAGACGCGAGCAACCACTACCTACATTTACATCCTCAGTCGCATACCCTTCCGTAGTAGCGACGGCTGACTCTACATTTGGACTTGATTCTTCAGCAGCACCGTTCAACTCCTTCGTAGTTAAGTCATTTTTTATAGCACTACCACTATAAGCCATCATTTGGTCGACGTGGCGCTTAATCACCCTATTAGTTCTTGATATTGTGCAACCATATGTTCGTCGACCTAAACGCTCCTTAATTACCGCTTCCTGCCATCCTACCTTATTTGGGTCTGAAAAATCTCGGATAAAGACCGGTGTGCCTTCCGTAAAAATAACATCTCTAGAACCCCCATGGTTTTGAATGTTACTAAGTTGTTTTTCTCTCACTCTGTCTTTCACTAAAGGTGGTTTTAATAAATCGAACCGCGTTTTCATTTCTCTACCTAACATAAGTTTAGCTGGAGACTCTCTTGTTGTACAATGCTTCATAGTACGATAATCAAATAGAAATCTCTTAAGCACTATGTCTAAACTTCCTTTTTCACCAGAGCTTAAACTTGCTTCAAGAGATTTTTTAAAAGTTTTAACAAAATTTTCGGCTTGCCCATTTGTAGCTGGAAACCCTGGAGGTGTAAGAATCTGTTTGATGCCATTATCCTTTAAAAATTGTTGGAATTCCCATGCTGTAAATTGGGTTCCATTATCACTTACTATGGCATCCACTAAACCATACCTACAAAATAGCTCTTCTAATTTCTCCACCGTGAATGCCGCTGTTATCTGCTTTGTTTTAAAAATTTCTACCCATTTGGAGTATGCATCAACTACGACTAAAAAGTAAACATTCTTGACTGGCCCGGCAAAATCAATGTGAATGCGCGACCATACTGAGCTAGGCATTTCCCACGGAATTAGTGGGCTTTTCTTTGGACTAGGCTGAACCTTTTTACATGGAATACATCTATCTATAAGATTTACTATATCCTTATCTATATTAGGCCACCAAACATACGACCTAGCCAAAGCTTTTGTCTTTACAATGCCTAAATGAGATGCATGTAACTCTTTTAAAACACGGTTTTTCAAAGTATAAGGTATTACACTTCTAAAACCCCATAATATACATCCGCACTCAATCGAAAGCTCTAAATTTTTAGTTTGAAAAGGCGAAAATATTTTGTCTTTTAACAAATGTAACTTCCCAGTTTCAATAGCGGCTTTTACTTTCGCTAAACAGGGGTCGCGAGCAGTCTCTTTTGCAATTACCTTAAAATCTAAATTTAGCTCATTATTTTTGGTTATAAAATTTATATAACTATTTTCCTCTGTATCTACAGAAGGAAGCAAATCTTGAGGTATACGCGAAATATTGTCTGTAAAATTTTCTGACCCCTTGACATACTCGATGGTATAATCAAATCCAGACAATGTCAAAGCCCATCGCTGAATACGAGCTGCTGCCATTACTGGTAGTCCCTTATTTTCACCAAAAATTGACAAAAGCGGCTTATGATCAGTTTGCAAAACAAACTTATTACCAAGCAGATAGAGTCGCAGTTTAGTTACTGCAAACACTATGGCTAGTGCTTCCTTTTGAATAGCACTATAATTTCGTTCAGCTGTCGAAAGCGCTCGAGATACGAAAGCGATCGGTTTAATTGTTCCATTAGGAAAACTGTGGGACAAGGTCCCGGCTATAGCGACATTTGACGCATCCGTTTGTAAAATAATAGGTTTACTGGGGTCAAAAGAAGCTAGGAATCTATCGGATGTAATTTCCTTTTTAAGATTTTCATAGGCATAATGACATGATTTTGTCCACCTGAATTTAACACCCTTTCTTAACAATGCATATAACGGCTCCATAATCTCAGCAAACTTAGGAATAAATTTGGAATAGTAATTAACTAATCCAATAAATGCACGAACTTCAGATAAATTGTTCGGTATTGGAGCATTAACGACTGCTGAAATCCTATCTTGGTTTTTTGACAAACCATTTTTATCAATATCAAAACCTAAATAGGAAATTGTTTTTTGAAAGAAAACACACTTATTAGCGTTTAAACGCAAACCCACGCTCTCTAATCTTTTCAAAACTTTTTCAATGGAGTTACTATGCTCTTCAATAGTATCTCCTGATATAAGAATATCGTCCAGGTAATTAACAACATTAGGTATACCACGCAATGCGTTTTCTATAGTTTTCTGAAAAATGGCTGCGGCAGGCTTAACACCAAATGGTAATCTGGTTATCTTAAAAATACCTAAATGTGTGCTCCATGCGCATAACCGTTGGGATTCTTCTACCAATTCAAGCTGATTGTACGCATTTGACAAATCAAGTTTGGTGAAGAACTGTCCTTTAAGGGAAGCAAATAGTTCTTCAATCCTAGGTAACGGATACCTCACATCTAGCAGGTGCTTATTGATGGTCGACTTATAGTCGCCACAAATACGTAATTCACCATTAGACTTTAACACTGGTACTAACGGCGTACCCCAATCTGAATCCTCTATTAATTTTAAAACACCCTTTTTTACCAAATCCTGAATCTGTCTTTCGATTTCTTTACGCCAAGCCAATGGCACTGGCCTGGGCTTGCAAAAAACAGGTTTTGCATCCTCTTTAAGACTAAGTTTAACCTTATGCACCTTATACGTTCCTAACCCTTCAGCAAAAACTGTAGAAAATCTACTTTTTAGAAACGCTACTCTATCATCTAACTGACTCAGTGTGCTTATTTCCATCCCAAAAAGTGACATAAAATCCCTACCAAAAACAGGGCGGCTAAGCGTATCACTAACCACAATTCGCAACTTGTGCGACTGTCCACGACACTTAATTGAAGCACTAAACTCACCCAAAATCCCCACAATATCACCACTGTATGTGACAAACTGATCGTTGCATTTCTTTAGCTTGATTCTCCCAAAATGTTTATGGAAATCGCCTTTCGAAAGTAATGAACAAGCTGCTCCAGAATCTAGCACAAATGCGAGCTTAACACCGTTCACTTCTACATCAATGACGAAAGGAGGTGGTGACTTGGGATGACACTTATCATCTACACTAAAAATTGAAAAATTATTAGTATCAGAATTATTTACTAAATTAGAAAAATTTTTGCATTCATTATTATTTACAATACTTATTGTTTTCTTTTTTAAACAAATATTGGCCAAATGGCCCACACGTCCACAATTATTGCATTTGCAATTTTTAAATTTGCAGCTACTACTTTCATGGTTTCTCCAACCACAGTGTTTACAGCTCTGCCGTTGCTTTTTACTGCCGCTGCCGCTGCTGCTGCCGCTGTTTGCATTTTTGTTATGCATGCAAGCTTTATTCGTACTCGCACTGTTTGCGCCTTTGAAATGCAAATTTCTTTTAAAAAGGGCATTAACCTCTACATCATGGGTTTGTTGCTGTTTGAAAGCTTCATTTTTTGCTTCCGTAATTATTGCAATTTTTAATGCCCGTTCAATTGTCAAGGTCTCATCTTCTTCACACAATCTTTCGAATGTTCTACCGTCTAAAGCAGTAACGAATTTATTTAGAACAAACGAATTTAATTGTGCCCCAAATTTACAATTTCTTGCTAATTTTTTTAAAAGTGCAAACCACTCCATAATTGTTTGCCCTTTTTCACGAACAGCATCAAAAAATATTTTTCGCTCGCGAAAAATAATAATCGGCTTTGAAAAGTGACTTCTCAAAAGCGTACACAATTTATCATACGTTTGGGTTGCAGGCAGATCCGGATCACAGATGTCCCGCAGCAGTCCATAAGCCTCCATTCCAATGTTTTTTAACAGGATCGACCGCTTGATCTTGTCGTCCTGACAAGCCATTTCAACAAAATGGGAGTCTAGGATCTCCACCCAGTCGCACCAACTGTCCACTTGCGGTCTGAACTCCCGCACACCTGACATGGTCGTACTTGTGAAGCATACACTTTCATTTTGTGTCATTTTTTTTCAAAAACAAAAATTTTCTTTTTTAAATAATTTTTTTGTATAATTTATTTTGCACGAGTCAAACTGCTTTTCATATAATTTTATATGATGATTTAAAAATTTTTTTTCTTTTTTTTTTTAAAAAATTTAATTAAAATTTAATTTTAATTTAAATAATTTTTAACGATAAATTAATTTTTTTTTTTGAATAATTTTTTTAACAATATTTTCCTCGTCGCCAATGTAATGTTTACGATTAGGTTTCGATCAAGACTGATTTTTATTTATTTTATTTTAACTTACAAGCTTACTCTTATACAAAGCTTATTCTATCTACATAAAAGCTTAAACTCTACACTTACTATACTGTACTTAATATGATTTATTATTATACTTAATACTAATATAAAAATATTTATATTACATAATACGGTATGCTAGCAGTGCTATGCTTACTATACTATAATTATTTATTATTATTTTTTATTTAAAACTTCTAATAAAGATTGCTGGTAGTTTTCACAGTTATTGACCAATCTCTCCAGCAAATCGTTTCGCCGCTCTTCAATACGCTGCCAGTTACTCTCATTTCTCTTATCTTCCTCCCTCATTAATTGTAACTCCTGTAAAATGCTGTCTGTTTTTCTTCTCTTTGCAGATGCTCCAAAAGATGTTGTTTCAACCGCAGCAGTGGAATTTGTATCTGTTGAAGAGTTAAGTTGCTGCAGTGGAGAAGCTGCGTCTGCGTCATAAAGAAAATCAACTGACTCGAACAATGGACAAAAACTTGTGTCTTCATTTGATTCCAAAACTGCTGGCTCGGCCAATGAAGTAATGTTTGAAACTACAATATTACTTTACTTATTATAAATTCAAGAAAAATATTATAATTACCATACCGTTATCTTCGTGTCCAGTTTCATCCATCAATGTTTCGACGTTGTGGATTTTAAAACTGCCTAATATGGCATGTACCTTATGGTACAGCGGCCAAGTAGATGGAGATCCACCCGACATGCCCATCGCTGCCTTTTCTTTTCTATAATATATTTTAGGTTTCATATTAGTTAATAAATTTAATTGTATAAATAGAAAATTTAATTTATGTAACCTAGTAAATAAATAAATAATATACTTTATGTATAATTTAAATTAATACAAAAAACGTAATTAAATTTACTTATACTTGCTCGTCAAGTTATTTATTTTGTTCGAAATTCCTTTAACCGACACCTCCATTCCACGCAATGAAAGCTTTTGTTGAAATTCTTTATAAATGTGGCTATTTCTCCTATTGCCACGGAGGTTTTCTATATCTTCCTCCCAAAGTTCACACAAAATGTTTTCCGCCTCGAGCGGCCACACAACTTGTTTTTTTTTCAGTAATTTTTCGCTGCTCATGGTTGGTAACAATTCAAACTGAAATAAAACTACTAAACATTTGTTTATCTTTTTTATAAATATGTCAAAACAGCTTTTTCAAACTGTCAAAATGCCATGAAGAGCTTTCATTTAGGGTATGTTCAATAGATTCCTTTGCATTTGGAACATATGTGGAATGCATTCGAACGTCATTCATACAGAATGTGAGAAAATTCCTCATTTTGTGCTTGAAATTTTATATGCAAGAATGAGGCATTCGATACTCATTTTCGATTTTTGACCAAAATGAGCCATTTTCGGCCAATGTAAACGCCGTATTACATAGAAAATGCACGTTTTTAACAAAAGAAATTCTTTTGGGATTAAATAAGGTGGCATGTTTCGGCTACTGAATGAATGATCCTTAGTAAATAAGTTTATTTTTAGAAAATAGAAAATAAGTTTATGTTTTAGAAATGTGAGTTAAAACCATTATGAATCATCAAAATTCTTCAAAGATTTTAGTCTAAGACGCCATAAAATTGAAAACGTTCCATGGTATATAACTAACGCCAGTACATTGCGACGTAAACATATAGTGTAAAGACGGAATCATGTACAAATTTCCGCCCTTCATAAACTTATAACTTGGATATATAATTACAATAATAATAATAATATATGAATAATAATTACATAGTTTATTCACTGTTTATATATTTCCTTTATTTAGTAGTTAATATTAATTTTTATTAAATGCCATAGGCTAGGATTATTGTATTGTCATAGTTTGTAACGGCATTTTGATGCCATAGACTAGAATCTTTTTATTATCATAGAATATAACGTCGTCGGCATTTTGATGCCATTGCTACAATCTATTGTAACCGCTTAGAATTATAACAACATAGACTATAATTCTTTTTGATCTAGTATTGCAAATTTTATAATAAAGATACTCTTTTTTGAACTAAAATAAACAACATCTTTACTTTCTCCTTGGTCTTGTACTGTAACGACACGGATTCGTCGTTTTTATTTTGCTGAGGTATCACTCAGTCGCGGTCCGGGTCGTTGCAATAAATTTGTTTTATTGACTAGTTCGAAGCTGGTAAACCAATGAGTGGAAAGTAAAAGACCGTTTGTTTTTATTATTTTAAAATTTTATTTATTAAAAAAAAAAGATTATTTTAAATAACTTATTCTAGTCTTGATTCTACTCAGTAAGTTTTATCCAAAGACGTCAGAACATCAAAGGGTTTTTTTCAAATCTACGTAATTAGTTTCTAGCCAAAGACGTCAAAACATCAAAGGCGTTTATAAAGTCTATTCAATAATTTTTACCCAAAGACGTCAGAACATCAAAGGGTTTTTTCCAAATCTACGTAATTAAATTCTAGCCAAAGACGTCAAAACATCAAAGGCGTTATACAATCTACTCACAAGTTTCTACGAATTTATTTAGCCTTAGCGTCGAAACACTATAGGCTTCTAAAAGTGGACTTAGCGCTGGAGTAGTGATCTACTCACTTCGGTGTGCCGGTGCTAAGTGATCTTTCATATAAAATCTCCGCTATTTATATACGACACTTTGCTTTGCTTAATTGCACGCACAACCGCACAAGTATAATTCGCTGTCAGCTTTGTTATGCTTGTCGTGTGTGCGTATGTTCGCGGTTGGCTTTGTTTTGCTTGTCGTGTGTGCGTGTGTTCGCGGTTGGCTTTGTTTTGCTTGTCGTGTGTGCGTGTGTTCGCGGTTGGCTTTGTTTTGCGTGTCGTTTGTGCGTATGTTCGCGGTTGGCTTTGTTTATTTGTTTCAAATATATAAATCGAGTTTTATCCAGATGATTTTTAGTAAAAAATAATAAGTTTTATGTAGGGCGGAATTTGTACAAAATTCCGTCCTTACATTTCCCTCCATCTTCGGGGAATTTGAACTGGACTACTTCGTTGAATGGTTTCGTGTCCGCTTTCTAGGATTCCTAAAAACTTTGAGGAATTCATCTTGATGTGTACTGGTGTAATCATAATCCTGCTCACGTGGTACATCTGGACTCTGACTTTTCGACTCTGTGATGAGTATGAAACTTCGCTGACGCGGTACATCTGCACTCTGACTTTTCGACTCTGTGATGAGTTTTAAACTTCGCTGACGCGGTACATCTGGACTCTGACTTTTCGACTCTGTGATGAGTTTTAAACTTCGCTGACGCGGTACATCTGGACTCTGACTTTTCGACTCTGTGATGAGTTTTAAATTTCGCTGACGTGGTACGTCTGGACTCTGACTTTTCGACTCTGTGATGAGTTTTGAATTTCGCAGATGTGGTACATCTGGACTCTGACTTTTCGACTCTGTGATGAGTTTTAAACTTCGCTGACGCAGTATTTCTGGACTCTGACTTTTCGACTCTGTGATGAGTTTTAAATTTCGTAGACGTGGTACATCTGGACTCTGACTTTTCGACTCTGTGATGAGTTTTAAATTTTTCTGACGCTGTACATCTGGACTCTGACTTTTCGACTCTGTGATGAGTTTTGAACTTCGCTGACGCGGTGGTACTAAGCACCTACAAGGTGTCTGCTCTTGTGGATTTTCTTGCTGGGCTTTTAAATAATCTCGAGGTTGTACGCGTCGTGTCGTTATGCTTGACTTTGGTAGTGATGCTGAAGTCACATTTCCAGTTATAAATGCTGTTGCTTGCTTAGCGGTTGATTGGTTCTGAGGCTGATTACTTCGTTTCTGATCAGGAATGGACGACTCGAAGCTTAGACTATGGATAATTTTATCCCGTGCTGGCATATTGGGTATGCTTCTCATTGTATTTTGTACCACCATCGCTTGAGGGGACTCGACTATCATGCGCCCTACGTTCACTTCACGGACACGATTACGGCTCACTTTATCCTGTTCTGTACTTAGTTCTTCGAAGTCATCGGCAAGTGTTGTTAATTCATTTAGGCTTGTAAACTCTGAACGTTTAATGTACATCCGGTAGTCTGCCTTCATGTTTCGATACACCCGCTCCAATTGCGAACCTGGATCCATGCCAGTGTGTCGCATTAGATTTATAATGTCAAGTGAGTAATCCTTGAATCTTTCTTTTGTCTTTTGTAGTCGTGTTCGTACCTCATTTTCTAAGTTTTCGAAATATCTACATGATTTGAAGAATTTTAAGAAATCTTCCTTGAAGCTTGACCAGAGGGGCCAAGGTTTCTGGTTGTTGCGGTACCATCTTAATGCTTTATCTTCAAAGAGTATTGGCATCATCTTGGGAATTAGATTAACATCGATACTGTACATAGCCGCCAGTTCCTCTATGTGATCGATGAAACCTAGTGGATCCTTACCACCGTCATATTTACAGAACCACTTCTGTACCTCTTCAACCATCTGAAGGTAGGAGCGCACTGGAGGATTTATTAAACTTCCATATGTTCCTGGTATTCCTCTTGATCCCACCGACATTGTTCCTTGTTGTTAATATTTTATCCTCTGGATCTTAAATTTCCATTCGAGCCTTGACCACTGCGATTTGACCAATCAGGTCCCTGGTAATTCTTTTCTTCCCACTTGGAATACTATCGAACACTAGTCCCTGCTCGGGCGCCAATTGTAACGACACGGATTCGTCGTTTTTATTTTGCTGAGGTATCACTCAGTCGCGGTCCGGGTCGTTGCAATAAATTTGTTTTATTGACTAGTTCGAAGCTGGTAAACCAATGAGTGGAAAGTAAAAGACCGTTTGTTTTTATTATTTTAAAATTTTATTTATTAAAAAAAAAAGATTATTTTAAATAACTTATTCTAGTCTTGATTCTACTCAGTAAGTTTTATCCAAAGACGTCAGAACATCAAAGGGTTTTTTTCAAATCTACGTAATTAGTTTCTAGCCAAAGACGTCAAAACATCAAAGGCGTTTATAAAGTCTATTCAATAATTTTTACCCAAAGACGTCAGAACATCAAAGGGTTTTTTCCAAATCTACGTAATTAAATTCTAGCCAAAGACGTCAAAACATCAAAGGCGTTATACAATCTACTCACAAGTTTCTACGAATTTATTTAGCCTTAGCGTCGAAACACTATAGGCTTCTAAAAGTGGACTTAGCGCTGGAGTAGTGATCTACTCACTTCGGTGTGCCGGTGCTAAGTGATCTTTCATATAAAATCTCCGCTATTTATATACGACACTTTGCTTTGCTTAATTGCACGCACAACCGCACAAGTATAATTCGCTGTCAGCTTTGTTATGCTTGTCGTGTGTGCGTATGTTCGCGGTTGGCTTTGTTTTGCTTGTCGTGTGTGCGTGTGTTCGCGGTTGGCTTTGTTTTGCGTGTCGTTTGTGCGTATGTTCGCGGTTGGCTTTGTTTATTTGTTTCAAATATATAAATCGAGTTTTATCCAGATGATTTTTAGTAAAAAATAATAAGTTTTATGTAGGGCGGAATTTGTACAAAATTCCGTCCTTACAGTACTAGCTAGTCAACTAATCAATAAAACAAATTAATTGCAACGACCCGGACCGCGTCTGACTGATACCTCAGCAAAATCAAACGCCGTATCCGTATCGTTACAATAGTACTTCCGGTAAAAAGTAAAAGTAGAAATTTAGACAGAAAATATTTATTATGAATACAGATTCATTCCAACAATTTTGTTTCAAGTTTGATGTTCACAAGTCTGAAAAGAACAACATAGCGGTCTGAAAAATAGTAGTTCACCCGATGAAATGTAACCAATTTATTTGTAAATTATCCTGACAAACATTTTTAGAAAAATTGTAAAATGAAAAATAGAAAAAAAATGTCCATTCTTCACTTTTATAGTCACTGAAGTCTTTTACTCAGGACTAGATTGATAATTGTCGACATTGATGTTAAGTGTTTAAATTATGTCGATAAAAATTTACAGTTACCCCTCATGACGGTAACTTAAAATATCACTTGAAATTAAGAAATATTGGAGCACCTTTGTTATCATTCTCCATCGTTAATATATATTTGATATCTTACAAAATATTTCACAGAATACTGATTATAAAATGATTAGGTTCGCTAAACACAGCACATGTACCATAATTAATAATATACAAACGGTGAAAATCTGTAACCGAACAGTTTTCGATATTATCAAAAAATATTTTACAAAATATCGTTTATTAATAGTTATTTATAGAGGCGCTCCCAAACACAGCGAATGTAACGCAATCAGAATAAACAAAGGTGAAAATACAGAACACAACTGTTTTTTCATGTTCCACAATCAACTTTTCTTAAATCAATGGTTAAGTGATGCTGTCCATCCAGCAATATTTCTCATATGAAATGTTAAAATAAATTTTACAAATATAAAAATCCGATCTATCACAAACTAAAAATTTTTCACATAATATTGTTTATAAGCTTTAGTGAATTATAGGTATTTGAATTATTATTTTTAACTCTATTTTAAATTAATTAGTTTTTCTCTATATACAAATTTAAAAAATTGCACTACTTTCAAAAACTTTCCCGGTTTTATTAAAGTCAGCAATTTTAAAAAATAAATGTCAATTTTTCGTTAGCTCAACTTATCTCTTGTTTCAAATTCATCTTTCGCATAGTTGCATTTGATATTTCTTTTAATTTGAGGCTTCGTTTCAACGATTTTTGCGAAATTAAGGTGTGTTTGAATATAGTATTGGATTCAATTAGTAAATGTTTTAAATAAAATAGTTTGTTCTTATTTATAATTGGTATTTCCAATTATTTAAACAACTTTTAAATTTATTTCAATTTCAAACAAAACAAATGTTAGTATCGAAAACAGCTTTTAATATTATAAATTTATATGTAGATGTGTAATATAAAGTGCAAAAAAGTAATATTGAATTTAATATCCGAAAACAATTGCATGGGTACTTCAATTAAAGCCATTCATTTCAAATAATGATGAAGCCCAAACAGGCTACTATATATGAATGCCGTGTATTCAACAGTAAGTGCCGTCATTCTGAATCAAAAGTCATAATTGTAGTGTAACACCCGCTTAATTGTTAAATGGTGTAATCTAGAACTTAAATCTTTTAGAATAATTTGCACTGGTAACACTTTGACTCCGCCATGTTTAACTATTATGTTTTGTTTTTGGTTTGTAACTCATATTTTATTATAAAATAATATTTAATAATTAGTCAAAGTAATATTTGTTATAATTTGACTTATATATGTGTGTCTTGTAAATTGAACAATATTTTGTGTTTCAAAATGTGTAACCGTATGTTCGGTATTTCAGTAAAGGTATCTTCCAAATCGCAAAAAATGTTTCGTTCTGAATACTTTGCCGAACTAAGCTGAGTCTACCAGAAAATATTGTTTAAAATGTGAATTCGGATTTACTAAGTTAATAATTGTTTTCGCCTATTTAAAAACATTTTTATTTATATTTTGAAGTGTGATTTCCACGTACCTTGAGGTGGGTTATATTGTTACCAACAAAATGTCTTAAATAACAAAAAGCATTACATTATTAATTTGAAAATAAAACTTAAAATCGCAGTTACTTTATTCAACGCTGTAAATTTTGATATATGCGAACAATACAAGAGGGAAACTGAAAACGCGTCTTTTTTAGAGAAAAATGTCTCAGTCTGTTTTAATGTGCGGTGATCCCAATGCTATAACAATAGAAGAGGACAATATTGTGTCCAATTTCTCAAATATTGTTGGTATACCTGTCCCGTATTCCTCGGAATATGGAATTTTACTAAGCAATGATGAATACGGAGTCGTTACAACTAAGAATTGTCAAGTTCAAGGATTGCTGACACACAATATTAATGATGGTAAAAAGTCTATATTATGTGTTCTTTGATTAATAATTTTTATATGTATGTTTAGATCTGATTTCTGAGGAAGTAATGAATTCTGGACAAATTAAAGATTTAAATCAAAGTGAACATACCACATATGCAAATACAACTTTCGTAAGCAACATAAATAGTAAGGAGGTTAAATCGCAGGCAACAACAAGAACAACGCCATCACCAATTCTCACTTCTAAGTAAGTAAAATAAATTTAAAACTTGTGTTAACCAGAAGTACATGTGGTATAGAATTTTACTTAAAGAGAAATAAAACTATTTAATTTTATTGATAGAAAGTTTTCACATAAAAAATCAACAGGTTGCTCCTTCATAATGTTCATGTTCTTCATAATAATACTTCTCTCTTGATAAGCTATATATTTCATCTTAACCAGAATTTAAATTTCATTTTATTTTGAACTACGAAACAGAAATTAGAACCACCTTTTCGTAAATTGATACATATATACATATATGTGTTATGTAACGTATTTAATATTAATATTTGTATTTATTATTTATACTAACATCGCTCTGTTTGCTTCGGTATTCATAAAATAAAAAATTACTTTCTGCTTTTAAAAATTTTTTTTTTTAATGGAACTAACTCCCATATATATATGTATATCTTCCAATGTGCAACCATTAAGCTACGCGCTTAAGTTTTAAATAATCTATATAGATTAAATTTTATATTTGATATGATTATTTAACTTTATCTTAACTACTTCGTTGAGTTTTCTCGAAAAATAATTGCAAAATATAATATTCTTTTTAAATTCCGGATATTTTTACATTCAATGTTAATACATAAATGTTCCACTTTCCCATATCTTTAATATTTTCAGGAAAATCATATTATTCTACATCCGATTATTTTGTACACTCAATGCAAGTTGCCAGTGTATAGACAGATATTTTTCAATTTTTGATATAGGAATTTAACTTTTTCTAGCGATTTCTGGTAATGTGTATATACTCTTGATTCCTTTTGACAATTATCTGCCACAATTTGTCTCTTTCGTGTGTTGCGTGGATGCAGTGGCATTTTGCTAACTTTATGAATACAATCTAGAAATTTTTATATTGATATTTTTCGCAAATCGGTTTAGAATGTAATTAAGTCACATATTTTCCTACTCACTTCGCAACCACAACTTTTTGTTTTTGTATTTGTTATAATATTGCTGTTGAAGCAGACTTTCAAGTTTGAGCAAGGCTGACGCTTCTATTTCAGCTATTACTGCAACTTGAAAGTGGGATTATGATGCTTTAAATACATTTTCGTACAATGAAAGATATTCTTTTCTATAAGTCCGTTTTGTATATTTGTTGACTGCCGACATTATTGAAGCTGTAGATACCTACGTAACTACGGAGATGTATTAACTATGGTGTATTTGCTGTGTTGATTGCTAATCTGATGTCTTTGTCTGTGTCTCAATTTTTCAGAATTTCTTAGTATCTCTTTTATTTACCTCTGAAGTCGCTTAGAACGAGCTTCCGCTTGTTCTTTAATTTCTTCAGCTTTGGTTGAGATGTTAAGGCCTTGGTAAATATCGACATTACGAACGCACTTTCGGGCGTTAAAAATATTTCTGAGGATTTTATTTTAAAGCCTT